GGGGGGGGGGGGGTTAGCTTGATATATCAATCTTTAAGGCACGCAGCCCCTCCCACCACAACATTGCTAAAGCAAAGAAGAACTCAGCTAGCATGCTAGCTTTCGTGATTAAATCATGTCAAATCGACGCAGTAGGACTTTCACTCTGGATGCCTCTTGACTTGAAGGGGAATCTCGGCTCCTGACTCCAGCCAATCTTTAGGTATATCGCGGTATATCACAGAAACGACGCCTAAGATCCTGGACAACATATTCAATATTTGTTTGAATCGGTTGACCCCCTGACCTCCCTTACCCTCTGCCTTGGTTGGGGGCAGCGCACCTCACGAAAAACAACAGGTCATGCTCAAAGGAACCTCTAATTCTCTGGCCATCCAAACAACAAAAGTGGAATGAAGGTGGTGCGCACACAAAACATATCCCTGCGTTTGGAGTATGCCAAGCGACAAAGAAAACGTGGTTCGGCAGCAAGCGAAGATGTTGCTGGAAGAGAAGGTGGAAGAAGAACCTGCACGTCACCAAGAAATAGGAACGTTGCCTGTCGCTTGGGGAAGGGGCGTCTCCCATAAAGCACACAAACGCATTGGAGTCAGTAGCCTGTGAGATGGAAAGCTTTTGACACCAAACCGATATCCCAAAACAAGTATATCTGCCAACCCTGCTCTCGATGAACGCGACCGTGAGCGGAGTGGGTTTGGCGTGCTCCAGATAGGCAGACGTGCTCCTTGTTGGCCCCAATCACCCGAACGAGGGTAGGAGGAGCTCAAGCATAAGGTTAACAGGTATAAACAAAGGACACGTAGCCATGTTATTTACGCACTCTTGGCACTGTAACAGTGTAAACACCAGCGGTGATGATTCCTCAGCATGGCCAGGCTTGCTTGCTATTCACGCACTTTCAGCATCAAAGGCTCAAAACGAGGTTCACTGTGGTCCCTTCAAGGACCCAGGGAGTAGATGCTTTCCGAGCCCTGTTCGCCCCAAGACTCCGCACCGACGACAGCCCATAAATATTGCTAAACGTTAACTTAAAAATCCATCTATTGAGTAAAACCAATACAGTATCCTGTCAACATAGTACGACACTAGCGATAAAAGCTATTGCCCGGATAACTAGCCAGGCCCAACCAAGCCCCCACGAAAGGCTTTTTGACCCATGACCTCCAGGATCCGGCCTGTCTACTTGAGGCACAGCTGGAACGAGAACCTGGTTGGATGTACGGTCGCTCTTGACGCGAAGGCCCAGGCCCACTGAAATTAAATTCGGACTGCGAATTATTCGAACCCCTGTTGTCATGGAAAATGTATTCTTTTTGTCAATGCTCCCAAAGTTGACATCTTAATCTTGCCTCTGGCAGGGGCAGTTCGCACTGGAGAATGGCTTCCTGACACTGTGCTAAACAAGCTGCAAGAGAAGAAAAGCAGTTGCGCCAATCCTCAGGGCCTGGATCCCCCAATCCTCAAGTCTTGGGCCAAACGTCCCTATCAGATTTTGCCTCCATCTGCAAGACTCCATGAGTGTCCAGTCTCTGCTGAAGAATCAAAACCGTTTCTGCCAGAAAAAGCGACGATCCAATCTCTGGTCAATGCAAGCCCAGTGGCTGCTCCTCAACACCTCAGGAGAATGGAAGCCAGGATTTGAGAGCAACTCACCTTGCAATTTCCATTTTAATTTATATAATATAGGTCTGAGAGATCTGCCGCAGGATTCAGCGCCGCTGTCCGCTCGGTCGATGCAGAACCTGCCAATGCTGAGTGGATACCACGAAACCTTGACAAAACAATCGCCATACAAGGCGGAAGTTGTGCCCACCTTTGGCCACTTGAAGGTGCAATTTGCAAGGAGTTGGATGTAATTTACGCAACATTCTTACTCATTCTTCAAACTCTGTCTGTGAAGGCTTGGTGAACGCTCTGTCAAATTCTGTCTTTTGATGCCTCTTGAGCTTTCAACTGCTGGCCTGATCAAGTTCACTACACGGTCTGTAGTTCAGCTAAGCTGCTCATTCCAGCCGCTGAGAAAAATCCAAGCAACTAACAAACGAGAAACTCCAGTCATCGAACCTAGTAACCTGGTGGCAGTGCCCTTGCAACTTCTATTCTGCTGTAAAAAGAGTAATCTCGTAGTTCTTTCCTTCAAGCACCCAAAGCAGGCTGACCTGGGCTGTGCTCACCGCAAACTCCTGGCAGAGGGAAGGTGGGACACAACACCAACATGTTCCGGTCAAGGACAAGCAAGAACAACTGACTTACGTAGGGGTTGAATGAAATCACTGAGAATTCAAACGGACTGCTACAGTGCTACAGTACTACTGCTACTGTCCCTTTCTTAAGAATCTACATAAGAAACAAAACATCCTGGACTTACCGTACGGTTTCACAAGTGTGGAACACCACCTTCAATTCCAGCCAGCAGCAAAACACAAACCCGCGAAACTATAGCTGGCTAGCTTACCCAAGTGATGATAGCTTTTTCAATGACCTGATCTGAATAAATACAACTGTCGCGAGGCAAAATTGGCTGGGATTTGCAAAGGCAAATGCATCTTGTTCATTGCTGAATACATAGTGAAGAAGTGGGTTCTTCTGATGTTTTACACGCATTTCATTTGTCTCTTGCAAGTTTCGCTCCTCCATTGTGGTGGACCGGCGAGGCCTGCAAGCTGAACTGACTGGAACCATCAATGAACTGCACTGGTTGATTGACTAGGTCGGCAAAGCTAGCATTGTGGGTGTCTTGCACATATGGCACGTGATTAATGGCAGCTCCCAAATGGTTCCAATCATGCCTACAAACACGAAACTAGACAAGAAACCCGCAGGACCTTCCTGACTCTCAGTGATCTTCGTTGAGAAAACGAAAGCACGACTCGCATGACGCACAGTTGTTTGAAGACTTCTGGGGCCAAAGGCTGCCGACGAATTGCAAAGGCGTTTAAACCAGCAGTCTCCCACAAACTCAGTTGGGGTTCATCAAAGTAATATACAGTATCCACTAATGAGTCTAAATCATAACCATACACGATTTCGATCAGCGCCGGTGCTCACGCAGGTGCCAGAACCAAAAAACCTTTTAGAAACAAAAGTACCATGGAAACGTTCGACTGTTCCTCAGTAAGGCCCAAGTCATTCTACATGACATACAACATGTATATATTCCCAGAACCCATTTGATCCGAAAACCCCAACAATGATCACTGAGGTGGTAGGGGTTCTTAGGGTAATGTTGGACGCTGATTAGAAATGGTTCCTCAATAATGCTAAATGTTTCCAAAATTATTCCAGACCCCATGATTGAAAAAGTGGTCCTGAATACTGCTAAATTTTTTTGGGGACCCTAATGTTCTTTATATTGGAAACCTAATTAATAAGGGTTTGAAACCTAATTAATAAGGGTTTGAATTCCTTTTGAACCCTGTCTACCTGCACTCCCCCCTCCCTTCCCAGGCAAGCAGATAAGAACAGTGTTTTCCACTGGAAAAATAGATCTGCTCATGAGATCTTCCTTTACATAGCTCCTAAGGCCAATGATTATGATGCATTAGCTGATATATATAGGTTTCTCTAGGTTTCTTCAAACCTGACAGCTTTCCAAAACCACCAATTCCTATTTAATTCTTTTATTAAACATTGCTCCTAAACAAATTTTCAAGGTAGTAAGTAAGTAGACCAGGAAGGCACCTGATCATCAATAATAGATTTGCTTTAGGATTCTCCATTGTGAAAAATTTTCCATTGGAAAATAGATCTGCTCTACTTCTACTGCTACTACTACTCCTACTACTACTACTACTACTACTACAAAAAGGAATTCTCACAGGAATCCAGATTTGCTTTGGTGGTAGTTTATTATAGAAGGTCCCCTATTTGTTTGAGGGAGGGGGGGGGAACCCCTTTACTAATCAGGATCCAACATTAAGAGTTAAATGCCGGGTCCGGCGGCGGCTAATTCGCTGCTACTGCATTTACGGTGCATTCATTCACCTCGAAATCTTCGAAGTGCATTTCGACTGCGCAGGCTCGCAGAAACTGGTGGGCACGAGCGGGTGCTTTCCTCAACTGCGCTCTCGTTGTGGTGCCGTGATATACCATGCACATAGCTGGACTTGGTCTTCCAAAGTCAAAGTTCAAAGTCGACTTTTCGTGGCAAGTGCAGGGGCTTGGCGGCTTTGGTTGGATGCGCAGGTTTTGCGGCAGGCGGAACGCTCTGGACATGGTAGTGGTTCATTTTCAGAAATAGCACCATAGGGGAAGTCTTCGGCAAAAGCTGCGTCGTGGCATCTTGATGTTGTCTTTGGAAGCGCTCTTGGCAGGGGATGCGCGATGTGAATCATTTCGTGGCAGGCGCATAATTTGCAGATTTCGTGGCAAGCGAAGCACTTTGTGACCCTCGAGCTTCAGATTTCGTGGCAAAGACAACGCTTTGTGAACCTTGAAGCGCAGATTTCGTGGCACGCGCAGCACTGTGTGGACCTTGAAGTGTAGAATTCGCGGCAGGCGCAGTATTTGTGAACTTGGAAGTGCAAATTCCGTGGCCAGGGCAGCATACGCTCTCATATGCGCGCTCTCATGCATGTCCTCTTCTGTATGCTGCACAGACTTTGGCTCTGGTTTTTAAGAAGTCTGGATCCCTCAATCTTAAGATCCCTTGCATTTCTAGGCCTCTAGACCTCCAGCTCTCTGGATCTATCTACAAGACCTAAGATCTTCTGGATCTTAGCTAGACCTCTTGATCTCTGCGCACTCTCATATATGTGCTCTCACGCGTGTGCTCTCATACGCGTGCTCTCGCATTAAGATGGGTGCTCTTACATGTACCCCCAAGAGCTCTAAACTTCTACACCTCTTCAATCTCTAGGACTTTAGACCTTTCTAGGCCTCTAAACCTCTAGACATCTAGAATCTTTGTGAATCGCAAGACCTCTCCGGATATCAAGACCTCTCTGGACCTCTGAATCTAGACCTCTGCATCTCTAAATCTCTCTGCAGCCCAATACCTTCTGCTTCTACACCTCTAAGACCTTGGACCTCTAGAGTGTTTCGAGGTCTCTTGCGGGGATAATATATATATATTTATAGATATTATATCAATTTTTTCAACATGCTACCACTCCCTGGTACCTAGAATTCAGGCGCAAGCTGCCGTTTTCCAGCACTCAAAAACCACATGCTTTTACAGGCCGCTAGGACCAGGAAGCTTTGTTCAACAGTGGGGTTTGCAACAGATCTCACTAGGCTTCGAATTCAATCTCTTTGGAGGAACCTAGAAGCACAAAATCGTGGCATTGTCTCAAAATGTAGCCTTGCTCTACAAGGAGCCCCAGCATACAAAACAAACTTCATCCCAATATGAGTCCCATATGATCATAGTGGAGCTTTAACACTGTTTACTGTTATATTATGCTAGGCAATTTTATGTAGAAAGCTTGTCCTATGTATGTTAATTGAAATAAACACCTATTGTCTACTACTTGCTTTTACAAAATCAGTTCTATAAAACAAAAGCAACGCATAACACAATCACGCCTTACAAAGTTGATGCTGTTTAAAAGAGCGCTCTACCGCCCTTAGACCAGAATGGGGTCCTTGTGAAATCCTAAAACAAGCCTTTAAAACTTAAAATCATTGCACGCCATTGAGCCCGTTTTGTCACAGGTGTTCAGGAGACTTAGTCTAATATAACAGAAACCAATGTCACTATATATTGGTATGAATTTGTGTCCTGAAGAGAAAACAACGAAACCCGCTCCATAGACAAAAAGCAACCTTCCAAGTGTATTAGCAACTGTTTCGTTCATCAATAGAAACCTAGTCTCAATGAGACACTCATTCTTCGTAGCCTTTATTTTGCCTTTATTTATCATGTTCTTGACGCACGCTCTTTCCTCAAGAAACATGAATGGTTTGGATGGGTTTTGATACCCTGTCGAAGTTTTTTTCACGGCTTATATAAATGGTTTGGATAGATTTTGTGGTACCCTTTCGAGGTGCTTTAAGTTGTGACTGATTTGGATTGGCTTGATGGGTATTCTCAGGTATCCTCAAAGGTTCTGGTCATACTGCTTACAAGCCGTTGGAGGTGCTTCTGAGTCAATGTCTTTTCAATTATATAGAAACTCTTTAGTTTAATGTTCATGGGCCGTGGCGTTGATGCAGGAGTTAATTCATGCAGTGAACAGCAAGCCAATCTAAACCATGCAGACCAATCAAACACCTCGAACAAACCACGACCAAGCAAGGCCTACAAAAACCTCGAGACGGTACCCCAAAAAACAAGGCCAAAGTTTTCAAGTCCATCTCAGGACCAATGACCAATACATGACAGGGGTTGTCTTTTTGACTTTTTGGTACCTTTTTGAGTTGTTTCCAAACCTTCCAAGGTTTTGATCTGAACACTTTAGTAGCTGGTAGCAGCTAGGCACCGTTTTGAAGTTTTTGCAGGTGTATATATATGTATGTATACATAGTATTATAAATACAAAATGCCCCGAAGAATCAACGGACCTTTCGAGCGAGGACCTTGATCTAGTAACCATATCAACTGTCATTGGAACAAATGCTGCCTTACGCAGCTAAAGCCCTCAACCCTTGATCTCCGCTTGCCTGCCATGATGCTGGGGTGAGCTCTGCACATAGCCGCAAAGACTGGCCACGAAGGAAGGTGAATGAAGGTGCCCATGTTTTGCACTTTCATCATCTGTAGCTGTATTTCAATTGGAGCTCGTTCCAAAACTTCTTAAAGTTAAAGAAATACATAACATATATAGGAAATCAGCGTCTTTGCATGGGATGTAGAGACCAGGAAGTGCCGGAACATCAGGCACACTGATGGACTATGGACTTGGGAGGCTGAGTTATCCACAACTGTGCAAAAGAATGGAGGATGTACAGTATGTCATTAACTTTGGTAAGGTTTGGACTGTACCTGACTGTACGAGTGCTTGTCACTGCTCTGCCGCGCACCTCCAGAGTATCGCCAGTTCACATTATTCACGATGCTTCGGCAAGTCTTTGGGGCGAAACCTTTATATATGTGGATGCGCTCTTGCTTTGGCGTGGGAGAACCCTCTCCAATTGGGGCATCCAAGTATTAGCAAAGCAAGCTCATGAAAAACAACATTTAAAAAAGTTCCAAGTACCAATACCTTACAGAGTACCAAGTTGAGACGTTCCTCAAATAGTTGACTGCAAAAGGCGCCAGTGCACCTGCGCGGAAAGCATGCCGGTGCCTCGAAGTTGTGAACTTGGATCAAGGGTGCTTTCATTTCAGTCAGTCATCCCATTTCAATCCTGTTACCCTCAAATCAGGTGCGCATGCGTTTGTTTGTCGGTTTCCCTCATCCTGCTGACAGTAAACATAGAAAATGTATGTGTATATATTTTTTTAATGTTATCGCGTCTGCTCACACCACATCAAGAAAGGCTGGGATCGTGGCTATTGCGGGAAACCAAAGGCCCTTCCTGGGTGTCATATCTTCGCTTGATCAATTGTGCATGGTCATCAAGCTTGTTTGCAAGGAAAGAATCTACCTTCAATCGAACATGAGTCATGAGTTGAAATGCAAAAGGTGGTTGAGATGGTTGGCCCCACCAGGTCTGCCAAGACGCCTCTCGTGCAGGGCTTGAAGGCACCGGTCTCTGCCTCAGCCGCAAGAGCATCATTGGGGATTGGATTGGACTGGGAAATTCTTACTTGTCAGGCCACACTGACCTGAGCAATTATCGGCGCGTCTGCATAGAACACTTGGTCAATCTTTGCTGTGGGGGTTCAATTCCACACTTGGAGTAGCCCTCTCCCTCGCAAAATATCATGCGCCACTTCTCCTCGCTTCTCGTTCTTGATGTAGTACAGTAGTTGTTCAAAGCTTGTCTATCTGTTTTGTCCTAGTCTTACAATCTATATACTGAGATTGCTAGATAAATTGTGAGAGATTCAAGCACAAACAAGTGGCATAAACATAGATTGTCGCCACTATCTATCACCGTAGTCTTGCATGCAATGCAATTCATTCATCAAGCGCTTTGAGGCAATTATACAACAAGACTGCAAGCCGGAAAAAGTACCCCGACGGCTCGATGAATGTGGCTTGCTTGGGCAAACCTGACATGCTTGTGAAAGACCCTCCGGGCTTTCGTAGGAGTGCCAATATTAAAAATATGAATAAACATTGCGCAGTCTTCTTGACTCTCTTGATCTGTCATTGTCAGCTTACAAAAATAATGCGCCAAGCAGCTGCTTCAGAAGCCAACAAAGCGAGCAAATCTCAAGTCTGAAGGGCATTGGAATCCCTTCAATCTAACATACCCTGAAAAGGGGAGTCCAGCCTCTTTGCCGTTGTGGTGACATCGGAGAGTCCTTGGCGCTGCTACACCGAGCGATGTCACGTTCTCTGAACGCTATACTGTGCCAACACTGTTGGTGGTCTCAAGACTCTGGCTAAGCAGGACCTCGCCCGACACAGTGTCTAGTGTGACGACATGCTGCAACAAACGCTGCATGGTGTCCACCCTCTCACTGGTTTCAATTCACCTTAATCCAACTGCACTTGCAACAGTTCTTGAACAAAGCACTGAGTGGATTTAGAACATTGGATTGGCGTGCCTTAGTTGTCATAAAGAATCTCAGTCCCCTGGGCCTTCAATTTGGACCAACGCCTGCCTCACAAATCCCGGGGAATCCTGTGGCCCTGCTTGGGACCGTACTGCTCGTGCCGGCACGCTCGCTGCGCGACTCCTGCGCCTCACACTGCTAAAGGTGAGTGTGTCTTCAGTATAGTAGCGATGCACTTGCTACCAGTAGCTTCTAGTATAGGCCCTTTTTATTAGTAGCTATGCCTTTTTTCTAGTAGCGATGCACTTGCTACTAGTAGCGATGCCCTTGATACTAATAAATAGCAATGCACTTGCTACCAGTAGCTTCTAGTATAGGCCCTTTTTATTAGTAGCTATGCCTTTTTTCTAGTAGCGATGCACTTGCTACTAGTAGCGATGCCCTTGATACTAATAAATAGCGGTGCACTTGCTACTAGTAGCTTCTAGTATAGGCTTGCAGGATGAATTGATTAGCGCTGCTGCTCATACTAGTAGCGATGCCCTTGTTACTAGTAGCGATGTTTGCTACTAGTAGCGATGCCCTTTTTACTAGTAGCGATGCACTGGCTACTAGTAGCGATGTGCCCTTGATACTAGTAGCGATGCACTTGCTACTAGTAGCTTCTATAGT